GCCTTCGATATGGTCTGCAGTAATATCTGCCTCTTGATATTCATGTCCTTGGGTAATATTCTCCTTCCGTTTCCCTGCTTATTAAGTTGCTTCTAATAAATAGAATACAGCAGAAGTAATAGGATGTTACTTCTGAGGTTAAATTATAAAAAGGCAATGGCTTCTATCTCTCTATTTCTCAAAGTTTATTTTTGAGAGAGAGAGAGAGAGGGAGAGAGAGAGAAATGTTGTTTTAAGCAACTACATTTTGTCATTTGTTATACATCAATAGATATAATATAATCCAGTAGGGGAAGACAAATCTATTAGGTTGTTGGTAAAGTCATGATGTGCTTTTCTATGTTTTTCTTTTCTTGATTAAAAATAAATTCTTCAATAAAGATAATTCCATGTCATGAATTTAATGAGAAACAATTAAAAGGGTATGTAAACAGTACAGTCAATAAAATTTTATCTTTCAGACCATATATTTTTTCTTCAAGATTGTATTCTTTTTTTTTTTTTTTTGGAGAGGTTTTCACTATAGGGCACGTGTGCTCTCCAGACAGAGAGAGACATAGAGACAGAAAACGAGAAATCACCCCCCAGAGGGGATGGTCATGCTGCAATCCTTCTCCTCCATTCTCCTCTCGGGATCTTGGGCATGCATGCACATGCGCCCAGCGTGAGTTTTAAGCCACCGGGTCCGGGACACGAACCGCGGTCGACTACGTGGGAGTCCAGCGACATAGCCATTACGCTAACTGCTGATTCCCAAGATTGTATTCTTGTGGCGATCCTAAAAGTAGACCTTGAGTTTGGTTTGACTCATCAGTAGTCAAACTGACTACTTCTCCACTCTTCTCTTGGGATTTTGGACACATACACACACACATTTGCTGTGAGTTTTAAGGTGCCACATCCAGGACTTGAACCACAGTTGACCAGATGGGAGACCAAAGCCTTAACCATCTCCTGACCCCCCCCTTTTTTTTTAATTCTTTTTGAAGACCGTTGCCATAGCACCAGCTCTACAGGATAGAGATGCAAGTTCAGTGGCAGCTTCTCTTTGTTCTCTAGTTACACTTTTTCCCAACTCTTGCTACATTTGTTCAGTTTTGTTGATAATGGGTTTCTAATTTGTGATTCTTCTAGATAGAGTTGCTTATATTTTCCATTTCTGTTTTATTAGACTCTTCTTGAGAATTTCTTATTTTGAAGAATTCAGGTACTTGATCTTTAATTCTAAGTTTCATATGACTGCTTATTGGAGTCTCTCTTACCTGCTCTAAGTTTTCTTGATTGGCTGCTTCTGTCATGTTTATTTCCATTTGACTTTTGAAGTTTTACTAATTCTTTTTTCAACTTTAGTTCTATTTTATTTCATTTATTTTAAATAATTATTTATTTTATTTCATTTGTTCATTCATTTATTTTTAATTTGACCAGACAGAGACACACATAGAGAGAGGGGGAAAGTGAGAAAGCCAGCCACCAGCCCGGTCCAGGACTGGACCCACAGTCAGCCACATGGGAGTGTCCAGTGCCTCAACTGCCATGCCACCTGCTGGGCCCATCTTCTTTAGTTTTACACATTCCTTCTGTATTGTTATTCAAAATGCTGAAGTTTTGCTGTAAGATTATTAATCTTATGTTTTAGCATATTAAATTGAATATCCACTTCAAATCAACTGACTTTTGAATCTCTTTGGAGATGAATTTCTGTATTATTATATTCATTTAACTTCTTTCTTGTCATTTCTAAGAGTTTCTTGAATCCAGTTATCTCTTTCTCTAATTCATCACTTTTCTTTATTTCTTGATCCAAATTATATTCCAGAGATTGTTTTAATTCTTTCTTTAACTGTTTGTTTTTATCCTCAGAAGTTTCGATCCTCATGACTTCAGGATGAGACAAATACTCTCATTCTCTGTAAGCATTCCTCCACAGGTTTTAGTCTTTCCCCTTCTATTAAACATTTCCCTCCAAATAAAGTTTAAGTATTTTCAATGACATACGAAAAGACAATGTCTGCCTGTTGCTTTTTCTATAAGCCTGCTTCTAATATTCTTGAATGCACAGTCTTATCTGCAAATCTATTTTTTCATCCACAGATCTACTATTAATATTTCGTTATTTACTGTCTTCTTTTCTCCTCCTTCTGCTCCTCTAATCTCACTTCATCTCCAAATGTAGCAATCCCTGATGTTTGGTCCTGCCTCTTTGTATTCCTCCTTTTAAAGTTTCCCAGCTTCTTAAATCTCAAGGCTTCAACTCAGATTCCTTAACCTGCATTTCCAGCTCTGGCCTCTTTAAGACATTTGTCCACTTATCTCTTCTGTCTAGTTCACTTCTCACAGACAGTAACCTCAAGCACACATCATAACCCACTGCTTGATGTGGACTACATTTGTAGTTAGCTCATTTTATATGCTCATTTTAGTTCTTATTGATGTTATTTTGAGTACAGTGTTATTTTCTAATCTCAGGAGGTGCCCGCATCCTTAGGATCTCTATTTTTCTACACAAAAAATGCATCATGACTTTCCCCAAAAGCCTACTTTCTAAAAGTCACTAAAAGTTCTGATTGTAGTGACCTAAACTTAGGAATTGGGATTTTAAAAAAAAGGTAAAACCAATATTAACCTAAAGAAGAAATTTTCTTCTTCAAGGTCTTAAAATTGCTTTGTTTATTTTTGCTATGTGGCACACGAGCTTACCAGAAAGACAGAGCAAGACAGAGGGACAGAAACTGAGAACTCACCCCAAGGGGGGATGGCCATGCAACAACCCCTTCTCCTCTCAGGATTTTGGGCACACGTGCACACACCCCTGGTGTGAGTTTGAAGTCGCCATGTTCAGAATTCTAACCTCAGTCAATCATGTGGAAGTCCAATGCCTTAATCACTGCACCACCTGCTGCCCCTCTTTTTTAAGTTTTATTTATTTATTTTTTTATCTTTTGGAAGACAGATGCTATGACCATGCTAGTACTGGGAGACATGCACAGGCCAGTCACAGCCCAAGAGAATCTAGTCATTGATAGCATTTTTAGTTCATAGTACCAGGGCTGTCTCCTGGCAGAACATCCTCCAGTGATGTCTAGCAGCCCAAGACTGTCATGGCTCTCCCAATCAGTATGAAAGGACTATCTAGTGACCCACTCTTTAACAGAACCATACAGCAGAGATCTTCCAGATGTGAAAAAAAAGGTCTTTAGTAATTCAATAATATGTGGGGGGAAAACAGTATAGAAAGCAAACATAGATACCAGAGACAGTGTGGGAGGAGAGTGGGAGATGGCAGAGAGTAAGAGATAGGAAATCAAGGATGGGGGAAAAAAGGAAAACATACAGAAAACAAGAAATGGAAAATTATTTGCTGACAATAACATTTTGTTGATGTGCTTGATTGAGACAATATACAGTATACTCTGGAAGGAAAATCTCATTTTGTATGCTGTAATGATGTACAGTGAATGAATGCAAATAAAAAAAAAGAAAAAAGAAAAAGAGAGCCAGCTAAATAAAGAATAAAAGGGAACAACAGTAAAAGAGATACCAATAAGATTCAAGGAATCTTAACTCAAAAACAAAGCCTGGTAATATTTATATGAGAGAAATCAACAAAAACGAAACAAAATCCATGTACTTAAATGTACATGTATGCATATAAATTCATGAAAAAACGTGATGGGAGGGCCCTGGATTTCAGTGAAATTGAATGGGATGTCCATTCTCTTGGAAAGCTTTATTCTATTATAATCAATGATAGATGAAGTGCAGCCTCTGGAGATAGGTAGGCTGGCTGACTTTCAATCCTATTGGGTCATTAGAAAAGTCATGACACATTTTTGTGTAGAAACACATAGAAAAATACATCATGACTTTTCCAATGATCCATTTTTTTTTGTTTTTGATCTTTATTTACTTCTTCCATGACTGAGAGAGACAGAAAATGAGAGAAAGACAGAGAAATAGTACTCCACAGTGGCCTACAATCCACCCCCCAGGTCTAGTCAACCCCAAATCATAGGCATGCATATGTCTGACATACTCTGGGAAGTCTCCAGACTTGAAACCCAGGACCTTACCATGTGGGTTAGCTCCACAGAGAGTTGTGTTTTACCACTGCACCACCAACCATCCGAATCCTGTTTTTGCCACTTTTGCATAATTTTGAAATGGTGGCATAATTTCTCTATGTCTCAGTTCCCTCATCTATAAAATGGGAATAGAAATAAATACATACCTCATAGGGCTGTTGAAAAAAAGTAAATAGATTACTGAATTAATGTTTATAAAACATTACATAAATATTTGCTTATGTAATTAAAATACATTTTAAGTATGATTTTCTAATGTACCTGTTCAAGGTACTAGTGCCTTGTATGTGTCTATAGTATTATTATTTTTTAAATTAATTAATTTATTTTTGTATATACAGTCAATCACATTGTTTAGCTTACAATGTGAACATTTCAATATGTGAACTTTCTCCCCAGTCCCATTGATCAAAATATCTTCAACCAATAGCACCACACCTCCCCATCCCGTCAATGCTCTTCCTCTGTATTCCTTCTCCAAATTTCCTTCATTAGGGTCCACTCCTCCACACACACCTCATCTTACATTCACACGTCTCTCTTGTGTTTGTACAACCGTATAGTATTATTTATCTCACCAGAGATAACATTTCAGAAACATTGCTCTGTCATTGACATTAATCTTTTTTCTGCCTACACCAAAGCATTGCTTTTTCTACTGCAAACAGAAGTGAATCTGGCAGAACAAGGCCTCATCAAAAGCAAAGACACCAAGTAAAGAGATGGGGAGCCCTGCCAGGGATATGTCCATTTATCATCCCAGGAAAGATAAAAAAGGCATTTATGAAGCATTAACTTGTGGGTCTAGAATTCTAAATTATACCCACAATAAATCTAAGCTCTGCTGAGCATGACTTATACCTGAGCACAAAAACTGAAGAAAAACAGTGTTATTTATCTGTTAAAGCTCTATGGATGGCAGAGTTCCCAGAATTAACACTGATAATCGAGGCCGCTGAAGAAGCACTGACCACTCTAAATCAATTCCAGGTATTTTATCTGGTGTCAGTCTAGGCTGTATAATACAGACAGGAAATGAGAGCACCATGGACAGGAAATTCTCTGGTCATTGCTTGTTTTACTGGCTTTGGTGGTTTTACAGAGGAGGTATTTCTTTCTCCCCCTCAGGAAAAGCAACTGCTATTAGCAAGGTATTTTTATCCTCTCTTGGTGGTCTTTGGTTTTGTCTGTCCTCCTTCAAAAATTTAACATTGCACAGTGGTTTAATTGTGGATTCTAGTATTCGAAACAAATCAAATTGGATGGTAATGTTGGTGATAGTAGAAAAAAATTGTTTTTCCATTTTATATTAAATCACCTAGCTAGTGACTGGACAGGAATGAGGTTTTGTTATTGTTTAATCCTTTGCTTCATAAGAAGAAATACTACATATTCTAATGATGTAAAAAGAAATAAAAACCACAAAACTGAATGGGTTCTAATCATCTAGTGACTACTAGAGAGATGTCTCAGGTCAGCTGTGGTGGTGTGGTGCTAACATAAGCCCTGTGATGTTGAAGCCACATGGGAAATTCCTAGGCTTGTGTTCCCAGGTCTCCTCGTACATGCCGGCCTGTGATCCTGGCTGGCTGAGGCTAGCAGTATATCATGGCATTAAGATCCTGTTAAGGGTGTCTGTTTCTGTCTGTCTGTCTCTCTTT